GCCGTAGACACGGTCCGTCTACTCGTCGGCTACTGTCGGCTACGTAAGTCTGCCTGCGTCTACGCCAAGTCTACGCAGTAGACATATGTGGTGTTGGAGATTAGCAATCCAGCACAAGTCCCGAGGCCAGCCCGAGGATGCTGGCTAAATGCTGACTGATGCGGAACTCGATGGAACTTCCCGGAACATACAGGAATAAATGGAGTTTAGTATAAATACAGTACCTACAGTAGAGCTCCTCATGAGCTTGTAACCTAAGGCCTCACGGCCAAGAGTGATATCTCACTAGGTTCACGAGATAAAACCAACATGTAGACCCACCTCACTCAACTTCATGACGCAGATTTGCCCCCATCTTGCTGTTCCTCCAATTTGTCGTGCAGATGGACGAGGAGGAATGATTCGGAGTCCGAGCCGACATCATTGAATGGCGTTGCCAAGCACAGCCATCAATGATGATCAACCGCTGCGAAATCTCGTGAAATCTTGGGAAATGCCACACTTCAACTTGATTCTTTCAAGATTCTCTTTGAGATTCCTCAGCCCATTCTGGATCCCAAATTGGCTCAGGTGCGTGTACATGTGTCTACATCCGCCTACGTGCGGCTACGTCGGTCTACGTGCGTCTACGTCGGTGTAGGTGAGTGAACGAATGTAGAGCTATGTAGACCAATGTAGACTTACTGCGTCTACATGGTGTGGACACAGGTAGACACAGGGTTCCATCTACCCTTCGTCTACGGAGGTAGACAGACCCTCTGTCTACATGGGGTGGGAACGCAGTGATTGCGGTGCTTTCACCGCCTAGAATCACTTATCGCACCGTTGCACGACAGTTCCTTATGTATGCTTTAATTGCGGACTCTTTATTGCTCGGACTGATTATTATTTACATGCGCACAGCACTGTTTCCTGACTCCTCCTGTGCGCTCCTCCATGTTGTGTTTACTTGTCCCTGTATATACTTATGACCGGTTTTGTATTTATTTAAACAGTAGTGCTCTACCGAATTTATTAGTTCTTTCTGTCCATTCTTTAGTAGTATGATACGAACACAATTCGCCTCTGCGTCATGCGACTAATATCTGCACGGTTCGCAGCAAAGTCCTTAATCTGTTTTATCCCTAAGTAGCCTTTGGTTGTTCTTCTGGAAGTACCGAACGGCTCTGATCAAATTTCTGCGTCATCTGGATTGCGCCCTGCCGGAGAGACTGGCATCATCGTCCGCAAATGACTATGAGATCAACTTTCAACTGCATTTACTTTGGTGTGTTCAACTCATGCTCAGACTCCGAGGTGTGTTACTGTGTGAGAACACTGCACATCCCCGGCGTTGAGTCAAGTGACTTGATGGCCCAAATTGATCTTGCATTTCACCTTGCGGAGTCGGTTCACATTCAGGTTCCTCCTCAGCCGCAGTTTCGAGGATAACAATCTTAATGGCGGTATTATAAGCGGATATAGAAATAATTGAATATTTCTCGATGTGTGGCAAAAATGTTACGAGTACTACTGTAACTCGTGCTTAGGAACCGCGAAGCGGGTCCAAAACATCTGGTGATTTATTAGTCCTGTTTTAATGAAGTACGGGCAATGGTGGCTGTGTTGAAGCGATAATAGTTGAAAAAAGCCTTCATTTTGTGTGATATCGTACAGCCACAAACCCTAACCCCTGTACATCCCCTTACCTAATTGCTAATCGTTCTTTTGGTTTTGCCTCTGTCTCCCGCACTTGTGCGGTTCTTTTTGCGCGAATCGTTTTCAAATGTGTTCCTTATGGTCCCGTACAACTTTCAGCATGCAAATCGGACCCATTGCCTCTGGTTTGCATTGAATTCCTTATGGCTGTGTCTTTGTGTTTGGTCTCGGCAGATTTCCCCGCCGCCCTCCACCTTTCCAGTTTGGTAATATCACCTTAAATTGGGCTGGCTTTACATTGTGTATATCAGATCAACATACCCATCCAAAACTGGCCAGTGTCCAGCCATGTACGGTGTGTTCGGGTCGCTGCCCGCCAAAATTTGTCGTGCACACGTGCACCTTTTTCACGGTGGTTGTGCTTGGCTGGTTCGACAATTCCGGAATTCTTGTAGTCGTAGTTCTCGACGTAGGCTCTAGCCCATTTTAGCCCAATCTCAAGAGTGTGTTGGTAAGAGAACAGCTGTAAATTTGGATGCCTGTGTTCCAAGTCATCAAATTCCGACGGCCGGCATCACATTTCGGCCTGATGTCGGAGTTTCAATTGAATTGTAGAGGTACATGGAAAGTCCGGGAGTGATGCTGGTTTGCCAAGTCCGTACAAAGAAATTGGAGTACTTGTACCTGCCGGGCCCTGCCACGGCCTCACCCCCAAGTTATTATGTGACAAAAAAGTTGGGGGTTATCCTCTCCACGGCAGCTGGCAGATAACATATACAAACAACATAGCCACAATTCCTGAGAATCCTCGAGAAAATCAAGTATGGCCTCGGTCAATGCTTGAAATATTGCAATTGGGCTTCCTATTCCATCCTGGACCATATAAGAAGCCTGAATCAAGATCCTTTAGCTGTATGGCACCAGGACTCAGGTAAGCCAGCACGAAATAACAGGTTTTGGCTGTGTTGACCACACAAGTCCAAAATACTGCCCATCTGCTTCCGGTATTTGAGCCAGAGACTGAGACCGCGGGATTTGACCCCTCTGGATGAACAAACTATTTTATATGCAATGTTGAATGGGTCCACTCCTTTTCTCGGTGATTTCTCCAAAATTGTGGCTATGTTGTTTGTATATGTTATTCGCCAGCCGCCGTGGAGAGGATAACCCAAACTTTTTGTCACTAGTAACATCACGCATAACACGGTCCGAAATTCCCGGTCAGTCTATTTTCTTATTCCACTGGTAGTACCACCACTGAGATTGTTATCCTCGAAACCGCGGCTGGGAAGGAACCTGGTTCGCACTGAGGCTACAGTTCAAGGTGCTGGAAAGCACGGGAAGGCTGAGTGTGAATATTACAACCATAAAAGGAAAAATTGTCGGGGCCGTGTGTGGGGTGTGGCTTTCCTTGACGCGCAGTTTCTGACAGTTGACAGCCCAATTGACATCCATGGACGAGGAAGGGAGAGGCAAGAGGATGGGGATAAACCGGATGGGGATGAACCAAAGCAATGTCAACGAAAGCCGTCCATCTCGTTCCAAAAACGGATAATGACGACCTTCAACTCCTCATCGGCATCGTTAATCCCCTCGACATACCCATTCAAAACGGCCGGGTCCTCTCCAACTCCGTGGCCACAAGTGCGTTCCTGCCCACCCTGCGCGTCCTGCGATAGCACGGTTGCCCGATACGCCGACTTCCCGGCGGTGACCGGGAGACGACCGTGTACGACACGAGCGCCACGATCAACCTCGAGACCGTGCCCCTCAACGGCGGCTTCCTTCTGACATTCTGCCAGCCATTCTGCCATGCCACCTGCCAGAATGGTAGACTTCTGCGAACGGCTTTACGGCGTATTCTGTTTCTTTTTAACCCCACCGCCACCATTTGAGCCCAACACTTCATTGTCCCTTGAGAAATATGTCCGACCAGCAATACACTGTCACTCGCAGCGGAACAAATTCTCAGGTGCGTATTCAGATCCGCAATTCGGATTCGATGAGGTTGATGTCGCTGTATAGGGCAATCGCTACACCTCTTACGGGTGAGACGTCTTTCTTTGCATCTTTCTTTGTGTTCTTGTCGGAGTTCTTTGTTGCTGACTTAGAGTTGATGTGCAGAGACGGCAGCTACAGCTACGACAACGCCGACGGCTCCAAGTATCACAAGGATGGACTTGGCTCGTCGACCTTCACCAGTCCCTCTGGCTACCAGGTCAAGAAGACCCCAGTCCAAACCCAGCCGAGACTGCCACAAGATTCCATGATCTCGCAATCTTCTGACTCTTGTGATTGTCCCCCTGGATCATGGCTTGTAAACTGATTCATTGTTTCTAGCCCATTGTTCGTGTTGTTGCATACAATAAGCACACCCTGATCTGTCCGTACCCATTGTGCCCGGTTTTACCTGGAAGCCACGAGGCTTGCACATCAGAATTTTGACAAATTGATTGTGGCGTTGTCCAACGCCAAAAATGCCGAAAACGCGTGAAAATGAGCAGAAATTTGACAACGCCCTTACGTTCATTACTCGTATATAAGCAGATGGTACGAATCAGATTGCACCTATTTGTGCTGTTCCGAAACGCCCCGGCTGTAATTTCTGTCCCATCCCTCGATTGTTTTTGCAATGGTACTTCCCTCCGTTTTCTCACCGATCATGGAGAGACATTTGTGAGAATATTGGCTAGCAAGCCGAATGTGGGTTCCTACTCACGGAACCGACACGAAGCTATCCGCAGCTGATGCATAGTGCAACGCAGTTGATGCGCAATTGCACAGTATGTACCTGACTCATTATTAGTTGAATTTTAGATATGTTAAAATTGACTTGATCGGAGTGAAACTGGACATTCTGAGATTCAGCACCTGGACTCCCGAATTCTGATTAAACCTCGGTGAGAGCATAGATCAAACCCACAGCATCCATATCGACACCGTCGCACGCAAGTGTTCAAAAAGAAGTCGGATCGGTTCTCTCTCCCAGTCTGTATCCCAGCATGGTACCATACATTGCCTTTGGGTTTTATGATGCGGGAAGTATATTTGTTGTTTGGCGGAGTCTCCTTCTGTACTTTTTTAGTGTTCATGCCTGGTTTGTACCCTGCTGTTTTGCATGTCACTAATACGGTGCGGATCGATTTTGCCATAGGTGTCAGAGCCGTTAACGTTGACCTACACAGTGACATTATAATCAATGGGCTTGAGGTTCCACGGGAAAGTCGGCACGAAAACCACCGTTCGATCCGATCAACCCTTCGACCTTCGCGTTGAACATTGATAAAGGGGCGGTTATGATGCGGAATCCCCGGTAGCCTAGCGCACTACATTCCGACCAACTTCGATTCAAGGCATAGCAGCGCACCGTGGTGTACGGAACACGCGCCGGAATACTATGGAAGTAATAAAAAGATAGCCGGCGAGCCGGGGTTCGACTCCCCGCGGTGCCCTGTCACGTGCATTCTTGGTTTTGGCGCTTCCCAGGATGCTGGGTATCTTTTTAGTGTTCATGCCTAGCTTGGACCCGGCTACTTTGCACGCCACTGTGCGGAACGAGTTTGTGATGGGCTTTACAGTGATTGGCGTTGACCTGCTCGTTAACAGACTTGAAAGGTGAGCTGCATTATGTTCTAATGATCGAAGCTGGGTAGACCGCGTTGAACATGGATATCGGATGTTGATGCGGAATCCCCGGTGGCCCCCAACGCACTGTATTCCTACCAACTTCGGTTCAAGGCATAGCAGCGCACCGTGGTGTACGGAACACGCGCCGGAATACTATTCCGGTAAGTAGTAAAAAAATAGCCGGCGAGACGGGGTTCCACTCCCCGCGGTGCACTATGTAAGACCTCGCGAGCATATTTTTCCTTGGTGGTATGATTTCCGGACGTTTCATGGAAAAAGGGGTGTTCTGAGACCCGGCTCTTGGGTCAATGCGACTCGTTCACGGTTCAGTTACTAGTATTGATTATTTTAAAACTGAGGCACAACTGCTGCAGGTACGAAGCTCCGATCTTGTGAGAGCGGGATGCCCTTCGGCTTTTCTTCTTGTCCTCGACCTCCTTGAGAAACATGGCGGGACTCCAGAAGCGTGAAGGAGGAATAAATGGGCGCAAACACGGGGAAACTCATAGATTGCTCCCATTTTGCCTTGAGCAAGTTGTATTCTGCGGGAGATGTTGAAGTCCGAAAGCAGACCGAATTGACCGACCATGCCGAAAACACCGCCACCACGTCACCAGACCCAATTTTTTCTCCTCCGCCCTCCACGTCGCGCAAGATACCGCCCTACCGCCCTTCCTCCCCCGCCTCCGACGCCGACGATGTGTGCTCGGAAGACCCCGGTTCACGCTCGAACACCGAATCCGACGAGGACGCGGGCGACGCCCCCGAAGCGCTCGCACAGCCAGGCGCGGCGCACGGCGCGCTCGGAGGCGGCGGCGCGCGCGGGTCGTCGACGGGGAGTAGGCGGCGCCGAAGGAGCGGAATCGAGAACGGGATCGGCGGGTGAAGATGTAGGCGGGGAAAAGGGGAAGGGGGCTGCGAAGGACGAGGGCGAAGGTGGGATGAAGAGGATGAGGATGAAGGAGGAGAGGAAGAGGGAGATGGGGACGAGGACGAGGACGGCGTGGAGGCAAGGATGGTGCGCGCGATGCGGGAGGCTGAGGAGGAGAGCGGCAGCGACGAGGACGACGACGAGGACAGCGATGTGCGCATGGGCGACGCGGACGTAGATTCCGATTCGGGCTCGGATTCAGACGCCGACGAAAAGGATGAGACACCAGCGAACCCCGGGCGCCTCCCCGCGCACCTCTTCGCCGCCGCCTTCGCGCCCTCCTCCCCGCCCTCGTCGGCCCCGTCAAAAGCGAAAGCAAGCGTCTCGAAGCGAAAGCGCCGCAACACGAACGCGAACCGCGCCGTGGGCTGCGGCTTCCCTTCTCCCTCCTCCCTTCCCATCCTCTCGTCCATTAATTCATTGATTTATTTTCGCAGAACGCGCACCCTGCGCCTCGCGCCCTCCGCCTCGGCGCACACAATCCCCGCGATGCTCCCCCGCGCAAGGCCCGCCTGTTCTCCGAGTGCACGCTCGCGCTCAAGGGCGGGAAGAAGAAGACGTGGTCGGGAATGCCCGGTGCGTCCCTGTCCCGTTTCCTTGCTTTCCTTGAAGCGCTGACGATTTGTGTCGCAGCCAACCTCGGTGTGATGCGACGCGCCGTGCACGGGCCCGCGGTCGGGTTCGTGCGGAACCCCGCTGTGTGAGGACGATTTATTTTATTACAACTCGGAGGCAATGTCGCACAACATATGCATCCTACCCACCGGAATTGATTCTCAGACTATTTCCCAGCTTGCTGGATCCACCCAATGTATCTGTGCACGCCTCTTCTCGGATTCTCCCCGCCCTGCGCTTCCAGTCGGTTTCTCGCGCGGATAATAACCACTGTCCCTGACTCTGCTTTCAGACTTGCTTGCTCTGCTCGCTGCTCCTTAAGCTTAGCACCTCTCGATTCCGTCCCGGCCCAAGTTCCAACCGACACCCGCGTTGGGCAACCTATCACGCTACTAATCATCTTCGTCTTCCAGCGCCTAAGTTACTACTACTAGTATTCGCCGGGCATCGCTCTCATGATCTCAAGCCTCAGTCGGTCCGCAAGTGTCCTCCCGCCCTTCGCCGTGCGTAAGGTTCGCCGATCATTACTGGTCATTCTCGTTGGCATTGCGGCTAAAAACAGTGGAGAAAATTCCGATGCCACACCTTGAACATACACTGCGTTCCCTGAGCCGGTCGGCACAGCCTGCCGATCTTGGCTGACACATGTTGACGTCTGCCGACCCTGCTCGGCAGACCCTGCGGACATCAGATCGGCAAGGCTTTGCCGATCTGGGTTGACATATGCCGACCTCTGCAGGACATCGGGTTGACATGCTCTCTCAACCTTTGCTCTTGCCCTCGACGCAGCTCATCCGACCTTCGCTACCGTATAGCTCTTCCTCTTGAGTCTTCCATGGAACGTGGTACAACCACACTGTGGCGATATATCAAGTATGATTTGCGAAACTTTAAACCTCATTTATGTAAGTTCTAGAAACTTCCGTGGCGTCGACCCTGGAGGGCGCTGCCCGGTGAGCGGTCGGGGACCCTGCTCTTCCCTCTACCAGTCCACTCTGCCCTTGGCCCCTCGACTCTCCCTGGGCCATCCCACTTCAAAGTTCAATAGCAATAAACCATGTGGCGAAAGAGTGCATGCGCGCAAGACGGCGCCCCGTGAGCCCTTCCACACTGGATGTTTTTTACCTCGACTGAGGTTGTCTCTAGCTTTCAAGTCAAGGCCCAGCTGGGCCTCGCATTCGGAGGACTGTGATGCAGTTCCCACTCAATGCTGATTATTTGTTCATCTTTATGTCGCACTCGGTCCGCCTCCGTACGACCGACTGGCACTCCCCGCTGAAAGACCGTGTCTTCTCACCCTCAACAGCAGCGGTGTGCGCAACACCAATGCAAACTCCGGCCTTAAATCGTGCTGAAGGATCTGGGAATCATAGGCTCACCTGGCGGCCGGAGGCTGGTATTATGATTTTGTTAGTCTAATTTAATCGGTGATCAAGGTCGGATACCAGCTTCCCTTCGACCTCAGAGCACGTTTAAATTCTAACCAAGCTATCTGCTATTGTTCAGTATTGTGCGCGCTGAGTGAGTACGAGCCATGGCGAGCGACGAGCGCATCGGTATATGATGGGTTAAGCTAAACAATGATTGAACAATGATACGCGTGGCCTGCTAGCGCGTTTGGAGTACCCAACCACTCGACACGGATGCAAATGGACAGCAGAAACGGTGGCATACTTCGACAGATGTCAGCAAACTCTGCCTACGTCCAGGTCCGCCGGCCTCTGCCGAGGCCGCTCGGCAAAGCCTGGGCCGACCGCCCCACGGAACGCAGTGATAGCTACGACTCGATTCAGAGGGCAGATGCCCCACCCATCCCAGTGCTCGCTCCCGACTCCCGCCCCCACAATGAACAGATCGCCGGGATCGTACTGCGCCTTGACGGCGCTCAATCTGGCGTAGTGCGGGCCGAAATGCTCTGGAACGCTGGCTCGAGCACGTCCGCCTCGTTGGAGTAAGCGCCTGCGTCGGGCCCGGATATCAGCTCAAGGATCGGGCGCTGCCGGGTCTTGAATTTCCTGCGAAGCACGTCGATTTCGGCGGGGGATGCCGAGTCCGACCAGCCTTTTGCGAGGATGAGCTAAAAGGAGCGCACGTCAATTGCTGGCTCTTGCCAGTGAAACTTTGATTTCAGTTACATGTATCTTGGCCGTCCGCCACGCAGGGTGCACAGCTGATGAGATATTGGCGTCTTCCGCCACTTTCCCTGTTCAAATGAGATTCAGCGATCAATAAACGCGGATACAGTAAATGTGTCCAAACCGCCCCCTACGACTTGGATAATACTGCAAGGAATAGCGTAAGCTGAAGTAAGCATCAAAGAAGATGCTTTAAATTCTACTTGGTGGTCCCGCTGTCCAACAGCTGCTCGTAACCGCAATTCGCCGGAAAAGTGACCCTTTTTCCGGCGAATTGCGATACGTCTGCGCTGGGATGAGCCTCGAGTCCAAAACACCATTTCCGCCCGCAGTGTCGTCTGCCAGCTGGAAGAGATGGGCGTTCATGTCGACATATGCATAACTCTGGGACAGGAGGGAGGTCCCCGGGACGGCCAGTGCGGCGCGCAGGAACGGTCCCAGAAGCGCCATACTCCGGGCTGTTGTCGTGTCTGGCAGGTACCCAGCCAGCGCGACGGTGGCGCCGCCAAATGCCGCATCCTTCGAGAGGATGAGGAGGGAATGGCTACTGCTGACTGGGTCCAGGTCAAAGATATGCTGTGCGTGGACGGTCGCCAGGTAATTTGCGGCGGTGTTGTTCGATGCAGCCAACGCGATGGAGGCGAAGGTCGCATTAACGGCGGGGAAGGTGCTGAAGGTCGCTGAGATGATGATACCCCAGCTCCCGGAGCCTCCACCGCGCAGGGCATAGAAAACTGCAGCCCATTCGATGTAGGCAGATATGTGCGGGAACAGGGGTCCACTCACGATCGGCATGCGAGATACTGTGGACTTTGAGCAGGTCGCCACTGGTGACGACAATGTCGAACTCTTAGACGGAGCAGGTGAGATTAGCCCCCTCTCCGACACAATGTAACCCATACCGAGGACATTATCCGCGGCGAGGCCGAGTTTCGGGGATAAAGGCGAGTGTCCAGCCCCTTGGACGAATCCGCCCGCAATGCAGACCGTCCGTGGGCCTTGGCCTGCTTATATAGCGTCCAATGGGAGCGGACTTCACTCCCCATTGTGAGTGCGGAGCCCATATCCTGTGTTCCGATGTAGAACGAGTCGGTGAAGGTGAGATTTCGGAAGCTCGCCGTGTGGATGAGGAGGGCGCCTGGTG